AAAAACCAAAGTCCACATAGCTACCAGAGTCTATAGAACTACCAGAGTCTATTGAACTACCAGAGTCTAAACAAAAACCAAGGTCCACATAGCTATACCAGAGTCTATAGAACTATCAGAGTCCACACAAAAACCAGGTCCATACAGTAACCAGTATTGTTAGTCTCCATGACCCAGATCTTTCATACAGAGTATCTGCAGTGCCCTCAAGGAGGCAAAACAAAAAACAAGAAAATGAAATACTTTTCAGATGTTTATGTTTAAAATGTAAAAAATCATTTTTATTGAAATAGTTTTTACATTTTGTTTGGTTAAAACTGATGACTCTGATGGTTAAACAGTGACAACAGAAACTGGATCTGAAGGTTTTCTGGTTTAGGATCTCTTTGATGGTGCTCTTCCTGTCCTCAGATCTGTCCACTATGTCTCTGTTGGACCAAGAAGAGGGGATGGATCGAGGAGGAGGGTCTGATGGTGACCCGCCAGTCTTCCCTTATCAATACCCCATACCTCACCCCTACAGCTCCCCCCTACACCAGCTGCCAGACTGTGAGGGGGGAGAAGGAGGAGGAGGAGGAGGTCAGCACAGTGGAGGTGACTGATTATTTTCTCTTTGTGTCTTTAAATTAACCATAGGAACCTCACAAACATGAAATAATCAGTTACAATCCACTGCAGAGCAACATGATGCCTTTTTTGGTCATACAGGAAGTCGCAGCAGCCAATCAGATTCCAGTGATGATCAGAAGGAGGAAGGAGGACAGAAGAAATCTGAGATGACCAGACAGGAAGTGAGCTCTCAGGATCCGGGCCCAGACTCCCTGAGTGACAGTGGCGCTCAGAGACCCCCGTCCTCCTCCTCTGGTGTCCACGGTGACGAGAGCGTCCCGCCGCAGTCTCGAGGTCAGCGCGCCGACTTCTCATCGGTCCAACCTGAAATGTCCCGGCAGTCCTTCCGCCTGGCCATGGGAAACCCCAGTGACCTCTTTGTGAATGTCATGTGACCCTGCAGTGATGATGTCACGTCCTGTCAGTGACAGAACTGAAAACATGCTTTTATTTTGAAAATTTAACTTCGACTAAAAACTGGAGCTGAACGAACTGTCAGAATCACTGTGACCAGAACCTGGACCCGGAACCTGGACCGGAACCTTGTTCTCATCTGAACCAAATCTGAACCTGAACCAAAACTGACCCAAACCTGGACTGGGTCCTGATCCACACATGAACCAAAACAGACTCAGACTCCAACAAACATCTGGACCTGGTCTGAGCTGGTGACAAGTTCAGGACCTGTGCCCCTCTAGGGACTGGCCTGGTACTGGCCTGGTTTCAGTTCCTGTACCGGTACTGCCATCATTTGAGTAGCAAAGTAGTCTTCAGAATCCTCAAGTGGACCTCGACATGTAGAACCTGTAGAACCGATCAGCTGAAACAGGAACAGGAAACTAGGCAGGGAGTGAATTTGAGTCTTCAAAAATAAAAGCATTTTATTTTCTTTTATTTATTTTTGCTCATTAAATAAGTTTAAATAAGTTTTGTAGCATTTTAGATTTATTTCTTTAAAAACTTTGTACAAAGATCAGATGAGTAAAATGTCCAGAGTTTATCTGAAGTGTGTCCAMACACTTAGATTAAATCACACCTGGTTTATGAAACAAACGTCTGATTTATTCTGGTTCTGATCATTTGCCTGGGCGCCATCGCTGTCTGCTTCCTCTTTCCCCCTGTTACCAAAATAAAAGCATGTTGGGACGTCAGAGTATTGAAACAGTGACTCAGTACACCTGCTGCTGCTCGCTAATTAAATAAGCATTTATGTATTTTCAAACGAAAATTTTCTTCAAAATGATGTTTAATTATTTAAAAACATAATTCAAATGGTAGTTTTATTTATTTAATGCAGTGTTTAAT